TCCCCCTGGCTATTGGGGGACCCCCTGGCTATTGGGGGACCCCCTGGCTATTGGGGACCCCCCTTCCTCTGGGCTATTGGGGGACCCCCCTTCTCTGAGCTATGCCGGAGAATGAGGGATTTCTCCTCCGCTGAGGGCTGTGGGGGACCCCCGGGGGACCCCCTTCTGACCTCTGGCAGGGATGGGGATCCCCTCTGAGGTATAGGGGCACCACCCACTGTCGAGCAGGTATCCTGGGGGGCATTCTCTCCTTGGGAATGGGTGGACCCCCTCCCTCTGAGAGCTGGGGGAAGTGGGGAGACCCTCCCCTCTGACCTGGGCTGGAGGGGTGCAATGCCCCCTCGTTTGGGGGGGGGGAGGGAAGATCCTCCACTCCCTGATCTGGGGGAGGCATCTCCCTTTCAGATGTGGTGGTGAGCCCCCTTCCTCTGATATGGGGGCGGGGGCAGCCCTGCCTGGGGAGATGTTGACAGGCGACCCTGCTCCCTCTTCGGGGGGGGCTCTGATCTGGAAGTGGGAAGACACCCCCCCCCCCCATATGATGGGAGGGATGTAACAATCGGGCGGTGACCTTTACATTTCCCCATGGGGCCCCTCTCTATGTGATTGGGGAATGGGGGGCCGTGTCCGCCGGAGGGGAGGGAACGGGGGGGCCCCCTCTGGCACTTATCCTTGGCAGTTAGTGGGGGTGCTCTGAGCTGGGGTGGGTAACGCTGTTTTTCCAGCTCTACACTCATCCCATGTAGTGGGCGCTGAGGGGGCCCCGGTATTGTCACCCTATTAGTCTGCTGTTTACCCCCCCTTATTGTTTGGGTGCGGGTCCCCCCAAACGCCCCCCCCCCAGCACTCATTCTTACTCACTGGGGGCACTTGACCTGTGAGCTCCACCCCACCCCACCAAGATCCAGTGGCTGGGATTCTAGGGACCCAGGCATCCGGGCCTGCTTTCCCTTTGGAGGTGGGATTCTAGGGACCCAGGCATCTGGAGGCTCTGGTCCCCCGAGCACACTGAGAACCCAGGCGTCCGGGAGCTCTGCTCCTAGCCCCCCCCCCCCCCCCGAGCGGGGCGGGGGAGGGTTGGTCAGTGATGCTGTTGGTCCGGACCGGGTGCCCGAAGATACGGTTGTGATCGGGCTGGTGCCAGGCGGGTGCTGGTTCACACGGGCCTAGGGGCCGATCCCGTGGGGTGTCTGCCACATGGGGGCCGGTGGTAGCGTAGCAGCCGGTTCCCCCAGATTGTCTGCGAAACAGGGTGGCCTGGGAGCGGGCTGTGTCTCCTTGTCTGGGGTCGTGTCCGTCCCTCCCTTCAAAACCCCAGTCTGCCCCGTCCCTGTGTGTCTTTCTCCTTCTTCCCAGAATATCGTGCTCTCTCTCCAGCTACCATCTGCTCACACGCCCTCTGCCCTCAGAGCAGGGTTTGAGCCCCTAATGGATCTCACGCACCCCCCCCGGCGCGCGAGGAAATGTTTAAATCAAGGCCGGCTGCGTCTCTAAGACACCTGCAGGGGTTAATTCAGGGCCGATCTCACGCCTGTGTTCTACAGGGGGTGTCTTTTGGCCTTAGGATCTATGAATTGCTATCTTTGTGTAGCTGGGGAAACTGAGGCACGGGGTAGCCTCGCCTAATGTCACATGGGGTGTCTGGCGCAGAGCCGGGATTGTGAACCAAGGTCCTCTTGCGTCCTCATCCAGTGTCCTGAGAGACTGGGCCATCCTGTCTCTCAACACGGCTTTGCAGGGGGCTGGGAGATGGAGGGAGGGATGGTGGGGCTGGGAGGGGTCACTGCTGCCCCCTCCTGGAGGAGATGAGCCCTGTTCTGCACCGGGGGGGAGGGGGGCGGATTTATTCAGTCTCGTTATGTGCTCATTGCATGAGGGGAAAATCTAGCCCCCTCAATAGTGATTAAATAGTTAACGCTGACAGGGGCTTTAATGTTGACACCCCAATTAGAGTAACAGGCTCCCCCCCTGCGAGCGATTGGCTCGGGTTCAGGCTGCGTCGGTTATGCTCTGGGCAGTTCACACCTCTGCGAGCGATCGGCTCAGGCTCTCCGCACATTCAGGGGAGGTTTTGCCCTAGATGGTACTATGTGTGTGTGTGTCCCTCGGTGTCCCTGCTGCCCCCTGCTGGAGAGGCTGAGTCCCGCTCTGTGCACGTGAGCGTGCGCTCACTAGATGGTGCTAGCGTAAGAGACGCAATTCACCAGGTGAGCAAGTGAAACTAGCTTCAGCGTGGGACCCTAGCAATGGTGAAAAGTGAACTGTGTGTTGTTGTAGCATCTAGGAGCCCAGTCCTGCCCCAGGACCTCTTTGTTCTGGGTGCTCGACAGGATATAGTTGGTGTATTGTGGTAGTATGCAGGAGCTCTGTCCTGGACTGGGACCCCCTTGTGCCAGGCGCTGTATGTTATCTATTAGGTGTATTACGGTAGCACCCAGGACACACACACACACACACACACACCCATGCCAGGTGCTGCATGTTATCTATTAGGTGTATTACCTGTAGCACCCAGGACACGCTTCCCGCCTTGTGGCAGGCGCTGTGTGTTATCTATTAGGTGTATTACGGCAGTGCCCGGTGGGAGGCCTTGCGCCAGGCGTTGTATATTATCTATTAGGTGTATTACGGTAGCATCCAGGACACACACACACACACACTCCTTGTGCCAGGCGCTGTATGTTATCTATTAGGTGTATTACGGTAGTGCCCCCAGGGGAAAGCACTTTATATTATCTATTAGGTGTATTACGGTAGTGCCCCCAGGGGAAAGCGCTGTATGTTATCTATTAGGTGTATTATGGTAGCATCCAGGACACACACACACACACACTCCTTGTGCCAGGCGCTGTATGTTATCTATTAGGTGTATTACGGTAGTGCCCCCAGGGGAAAGCGCTGTATGTTATCTATTAGGTGTATTACAGTAGTGCCCCCAGGGGAAAGCGCTGTATGTTATCTATTAGGCGTATTACGGTAGTGCCCCCAGGGGAAAGCGCTGTATGTTATCTATTAGGTGTATTACGGTAGCATCCAGGACACACACACACCCCCCTTGTGCCAGGCGCTGTATGTTATCTATTAGGTGTATTACGGCAGTGCCCGGTGGCAGAGCCTTGCGCCAGGTGCTGTACAAACACAGACCAGAGAGAGACTCCCCGATCCCACAGCCTGAACCCAGCCGTACCCCGGCCGCAGTGAGGTGGAATTACCGTTGCCCCTCCCCCCGCCCAGCGTACCTGCCCCCGGGCAACACGTGGCTCTGGGTTGCGCAGGGCACTGGGGGAGATGTGGGTGAATCGTGCTGCTCGCCTGTTGGTTCGGGGCGAGACCCGCTCCAGGCGGAGTAACACAGGTCGGGGAGAGAGGCTCCGGCCGGGCCGTGTCTCAGTCCCGGTGCGTCACAAGTGGCAGCGCGGGGTATTGCTGGGGTAACTTGCCAACAGACAGACCCGTCACCCATCCCTACAGTCCAGGCGCGAAGGTGCCCACACGTAGGCCGACTGTCTCTCGGTTGTTGGCAGCTTGTCTAGCTGCACGTGCCGCTTGTTGAGTTGGGCTGTTGCAGGGGATTGTGGGATGGTGCTTGGCCTAAGTGAAAACCCGCCAGGCGTTCCCGTTACGGGGTCTGGTTTGTCTAGCCGGGCGGGGGGTCCCCAATCCGGGCTGGCTTCACAGGGCCTGGCACTCAGGGGAAACCCCACCCCATCTGGGCTATGGGTCCTGTGGGATCTCCTCTCCCTGGGGCTGGGATCCCCCCAGCTGAGATCAGGGAAGGGGGACCGGAGGGGGTGCCTGGGACGGTACCCGTTTGTGATGGACGTCTCCTAGCTCAGGTCCATTAATGCTTCATGTGGCGAGCCAAGATGGGGGGCCTGGTCCCACAGCTGAAGTTGGGGGGGGGGGATTTGTGTGGGGCTGGCCGACCCCCTTTCCCACTCGAGGGCCAGACAGAATCTGATCTGTAACCCAGTCCATCCTGACATCACTGCGAGCGCCCGGGCCGTGGGGTGATCCCCATACACAGCTGGGGGCATCAGCTGGACCACTGAGCTTAGCCCTTCCAGGGACTTGAGCTTGGATCCTGGCTCCCAGCCCCGCCCCCCCCCCCGCCGCTCTAACCACTAGGCACCGGCGCTCCGTAATATGCCATGTACGTACCCTACGTTGTGCCAGAGAC